GCAGCACCGCCCGCAGCGCCACGGCCGCCGCCCTCAGCCCGCCCCGCCGCGGGGAAACTGAGGCAGCGGCCGCGCGCGTGTGGGGCGGCTCGCCGCGGGGGTGGGGACACCCACACCCACACTCACACACACCCACACATACATACACACACACACATACACACACACATACACACACATACACACATACACACACAAACACGGAGGGACAGGTCCCTGTGGCGGGGGACAGAGCGGTTTGGGAGGTGCCGCTGTGGTAACCCGCACCCACCGCCCCCCCCAACCCGGCCTGCGTGCTGCGGGTGTGAGGGGGGAACCCGCCTGCAGCGATTCGGCGAAATTTGTGCTTGTTTCGTCGTGAGCTTTTTATCGTGGTGGTTATTGTTGCTGTTGTTGTTATTATTGGGGTTTTTAAGGTGTGGGGATAAGGCCCAGTGTGGTCTGTGAAGAAGCGCCGTGCCTAGTGCCGCCCAGTGTCCCTCACAAGCCACCCCCCAAGCCCCTCACGTTTCTGTCCCCCTCAAAAGCCACCACTGTCCCCATCAACAGCCACAGACTCCCCCAAGCCACCCAATATCCCATTCACTGCCCGCTGACCCCTCCCAAGCCACCCAGTGTCCCTCAAAAAACACCCACTGTCCCTCAAAAGCCACCCCTGTCCCCCTCAAAAGCCACCACCATCCCACTCACAAGCCACCCGCTGTCCCCCAAAGGCCACCACTGTCCCCCTCCCAAGCCAGCCCACCACCCTCTGTTGCCATCAGGGACACACATGCCCAGATCCCGGTGAGTTTTGGCTCAGCTCCTTCGTAACTGCTGATTTGAAAAAAATTATAATGGCCATTATCATTGCTTTAGGCTGGCTTCTCATCGTGATTATCCGCTTTGAATTAAATACCTGAATGGGGCTTTATGTGTCAAAATGCAAGTATTAAAATAGAAATTAAGAATTACAAGATTTCTCTTGTTTTTGTCGAAAGCTAATCTGGCGCGTTATCTTTTCATTAAGGACAGCTCTAGAGATTAGCATCTAATCCCATACATGTTTTCAGTGTGCTTTCAGACATCCCACCTAAGTCACAAATACCCTGAAGCAGCTGTACAATCCCTGGAATGTTTTTAGGGATGCTTTTAAGCGTTTTTTTGGCCAAGGTTTTGTTGCAAACGGGCTAAAAGGAGATGTACCTTACTGGGTCTGGCTCCTTTTCCCCCTCTCCAGATCTTGGGGGTTTGTTTTGTCATTGCTGGCTCTTTTGGTAGCTTTGGAAACTTGGGAAGCTGCTTGTGAAAGGAGTGTTTTTTTTTTCACTCAGGGACTCGTGCCCTGACGCGAGTGTGGCTTTGTGAGCCTGGGACAAGATGATCTTCCAATCCTTAATGTTCTATGATTCTACTTTGTCATTCTTACAAACACAGGATTTGAGAAAATTTTGAATGCAATCCTCCAAGATTCTGTGATTCAAAAAGACATAATCTGGCTGTATTTCATTATCGAGCCCGATTGACTTGTTATTAAAGTTTATGCATGCCTTATACCCTTGTAAATCAGATTTTTCTTGATCCTAATGAAATCTAGGGAAGGAATTAATTCTGTAGAATTATTGGGGGTTTAAGTTGTCTCTAAGTAGGTTAATTTTGTCAAATGTACCATTCCCAATTATTTGAATGTATTCTGGTTCTTCAAGATTAGCTTGTTTATGAATGTGTTTTCCAGCATTTCTAATTTTAGATGCTTTGATGGGGGGCTTAATTTGATATATTTTTCATCTTTATGTATGGTTGCAGCTGTTATTACCAGGTGCATGTTTGTTAAGTATAAGGTTTGTTCTCCATTTGGAGTATCCAATAACTGCTCAGATTAACTTTGGATCATACTTGCCAACAAGCTTTATCGCTGGAATTTTGTTAAAAACTGAACCCCTGAAAAATGTAGGATGTAAAGAAACTGTAAAGAAAATGGAGGATGATTATACATGGACATTGTGAGCAAATTAACATGTAAAAGCTAAAACACTTGCATTGCTTGAAAGCATGAAAATTACTGGTTTTCATCGTGTAAATATTGCAATAAATGGCCAAGTTGTGTACTCTGAATTGTTCGGTGGTTTTGACACTAACATTTTCAATGTAAAAACAGTGGGAAAGAAGTCATATCCTGGAGATAATTGTCTTTTTTTTTTAGATCTGTAGTTTCAGCTCTTATACATGTAGAGAATCTAAAATTTTCTTTAATGAAAATTTGTGTGATTAATTTAAATCTAACGACATCAGGTTCTTTTCCTGCAGAGAGCCTAAAAGTAGCTCAGATACCCTGAGGCACTCCTCTATTAGCAGCTGGGAAAGAGTTTTGCAGAGAGGAGTTTGGTTTTGAGGGAGGAGAGAGGATAAGGACAGAAGAAGCAGCTCCATTTCCATGGGGGAACCTTGACTAGATGGAGATGCTAACATTTTTCATCTTGGTAAATTTTCTTTGAGTTTTCTGTCCCTGTGGAGAGATCTGTTCTGTCCTTTGGTGGCTTTGGGAGTGTGTCCTGCTGGAGCACCCTTTTCCCCTTGGCAGTGGGGCTTCTCCAGCTCCAACTTCTCCTGTAACCACTGTAAAAATGGAAATGCAAAACCCCAGGCACAGGGGTTTGTCTCTTATTTCTCACCAAATCCTCTAGAACTGATTATTGCCAAGGACATATTGCAGAGGGGGATGGTTAGTCTCTGAAAAACTGCCTTCTGTCTCTGTGCCCCTGAAAAATCTTACCAGTGGGGCAAATGCTGTGGCTGTTACCCCATTCCTTCAGACACCAGCTTCTACCCCAGAACTGCTGGGATGTGGAGCACAGTTACCTGGGATCACAGAACACACGGGAACGAACCCATTCCTGTGAATGCAGAAGATATTCCTGGGAACTCCAGAGGTCTCTCTTTATTGATTCCAAATATTCTGCCAAAACTTAATGACTTGCCAAAATGCAAACAGAATTTTCCACCAGTTTCTCATTGCTGACAGCTGTGCACGGTAAAGGGTGCCTGGATTTTTATTTATTTCTTCTCATGTGTTCAGATGACACTTCCTATAACAAATACTAGCAGGTAAAGTAAGGAATCTTACTTTTTCTAGTTAAACCTGTCACTTATCTTGTCATGAAAATAGAGACACTTCCCAGTATTCAGAGGGAAAACCAGACAGTGAGATACACAATGTGAGCTAAAAAAAAAATTGTGAATTAAAAAAAAAAAGTGAATTAAAAAAAATTTGTTGTTTGCATTACTGCTGTGATACAAGACACACAGACAAGACTCTTCCTGAAGATGTAAATTCCTTACCAGGAAAGTAATTATAATATAGAATAATGTAAAACTGCCTTCATTCCTGGTATTGCTTCTGAGTGCCAAGTCTTGAGCTTTTTTAGCTGTCAGCCTCATTCTCCTGCAAATAGCACAATCTAGTTAATATTTTCCACTTGGAGCCCACATGCAGCAGCTCGGACAGGTTCAGATAAATGGTGCCAGACAGTCACAAGCTGGGTGGCAGTATTAACCTAGAAAGCTGTTAAATAGCAAGAAACACATTCCTGTTTAAAAAGGTGATTGTTCCACAGGTTGCACAATGATTCAGAGACAAATAAGCCACAGGTATTGGTGTGTGGTTTTTTTTAAGTGAGCAGACAGTCATGGGTCACTATGATTAAAGCATAAAGTCTTCATTTGCAGCTAGGAAGGGGTTGCAAATTCGTGGGTAATTCTAAAAAACACGTTGATGAAAAGCTGCAGGAGCAGCTGAAATAGAAAATCTGTCACAGCACAGCAGATACGGTGCAATTTTGTTTTAGCAGCTCTCCCAGCTCTGTGTAACTTCAGCTGGAGTTTGGTGTCTGAGCCTTCTAAAATTAAAATCCTGAGTATTCTGATTACAGTGGAAGTGTGTAAGAATATTAAAAAGTGGCTTTGGTTTCCTAGCTACAAGTGTGTTCATCACAGCTCATTGTGCATGTAAAGAAATTCAGAAAAAACCAAAAGGAGAGATGGATGATATGGCAAGCATTTTATTTTCTGCAATTCTGTCCAGTCAATAAGTGCAAGCAAGGAAAAGAAAAAAAAAAACAAAAAAAAACCCAAAAAAACCCCCAAAAATCCTGGTGCTTATTATTAAAAAAAAAAAAAAATAAAAAATAGGAGGACTTACGTTTTGGTTCATGTTTAACAAAGTTAATTTCCAGGAAGAACAAACGGAATGATAGTGCAAAATTTTGCTTTAGTACAGTAATTCTGTTAATGTCCTGCTTTCCTGTAAATGTGGCTTTGGGGATTGAGTTTCTTGGCAGAAAGCAGCGTGGCTGTAGCCTCAGTTCTTGAGAAGGTTCATGTAAGTGAATCAGAGAGAGCACCAAAGAGCTATTAGGGCTATGGGACGCTGGAAAAGTGAGCTTGATGCTTTCATTCCTCAGTATCAGTCCGTTTGGCCTCAAATGACAATCTTCTGGAGTCAGAGATTCCACAGAGATGGACAGCAATTTCCAGAATTTCAGCCAGTCCATTTGTGTTTGTGCATTGCTGAGATGCTGGAAAAGTGTGGTATATGTTGAGTACATGGTTTTTCTTTTCAGCAATTGTATCCAAGTGTTAGAGGTGATTTGTGGTAGGTTCT